CGTGAGTGGCAGCAAGCTTGGGGGGGGGGGGTGTGAAGCGGCAAGTTTCCATCAACAGCAGTCACACTAGGAGCATTTTTGCTTGGTCGATAGAGTTTGTTATCACGTGGAGTCTGCCAGCCCGTCAGACAAGGCGCTCAGCTTCACCAGCCGCTGTGCCCCGTCTCCTCGCGCCCGCACAGGCGGCGGCGGCGGCGCGCCGGGCGCCGCGCGATACCAGCCACGGCCGCGCGACTCGCTGCCGGACGACGTCGCCGCGCTGACCGAGCTCAAGCAGCACACCAAGCCGGTGACCTGCATGTGCCTGGACACGGCCAGCCAGCAGCTGTACACAGGGGCGCAGGATGGGCTGGTGTGCGCCTGGAGCTGCGCATCGGGGCAGGTGGGCGCGAGGGGCGGAGTACATGGAAATAGGTGTGGCGCCCGAGGAGTGTGCTGTGACACCTGTGTCCCAAGGTATCGCAGGGGAGCAGGAGAGCTACACGATGCAAGCTGCGCAGCAGCTCGCAGCGCCACTGCTGCCCTAATGGCTATGGGAAGCAAGCACAGTGTCGTGCACACTGGGCGCCTGTGTGCAATGGGCTCCGGGCAGGCTGGCAGCCCAGACAGATGCATGCGCGCATACAACTCAACAACTCTGGTTGCGCGTGACAACAGCGCAACTTGCTGGAGCGGTTGTTGCAGCGTACGCTGGTGGCGCTGCTGGCACCAAGGCACTATAATGTACCCACGGCCGGCCGCCTGCTCATACCTTGCAGCTGGTGACGTCAGCAGACTGTGGCATGCCTGTGGACACGCTGCTGGTGGAGGCGGGTTTTCTGTTTGTGGCCGTCAGCCAAAAGCACGACAGCGCCATCAAGGTGCGCGTCTGCATCGGGGCAGAGGGGCGGTGATGGGCCATGGCGCCCCGCACTTGAGCTGATCGCCTGAACCTCATGATGGCGGTCTGCGTTTGCCCTGGGCTCCCGGGCCAAATGGTTCTCAGTAGCGTCAGCCCGCTTCGACCTTGCGAGGTGCCTGAGCTTGAGCTGCCGGGTGCTGGTGCCAGCGGCGCTCGGTCCCCAGCATGGCAGCTGCACAAGGCGAAGCAGCGGAGCCACAGTTCCGCGTCCACACTGTGTGATCTCTTGCAGGTCTGGAACTTGGGGGCGGGAGGGGCGATGCACGTGCTCACGGGCCACACGGTGAGAGGCCACTGGTGGAAGCAAGGAGGGAAGGGGCGTGCTTGGTGCGAGTCCAGAAGGAGCGGGGCAGAGACTTTTGTTGCTTGAGGGCGTCGCTGAGACATTTTTAGGGCTCAGGCACCAGCAAACAGCAGTCTTGAAGGGCGGTTGTGGCTGCTGCTGCTCGCTACCCGCTGCGCTTGAATTTGAGTTCGCCTCCGCCACACTATGCACGTGAGTTTGGTGTGCACAACGAATCTTTATGTTGCAGACATTAGAACCCACCACACACACACACACACACACACACACACACACACACACACACAAACACACACACACATGCACGCAAGCGCGCGCACACACACACACACACACACACACACACAAACGCGCGCACGCGCATGCGCGCACGCACGCACGCACAAACACACACCTACATGCATGCGTTGGCGTGCACACATACACACACACATGCACGTGTGCATGTACGTACACATACACATGCGTGCTCACACACACATACAACCACAGAATGTCCTCGACCTTCTCTTCGTCACTTGTCCCCACCTCGCAGGGCCAGGTTTTGGCTCTGGCCGTGTCGCCGCAGAGTGGTCTCCTTTTCAGCGGTGGCCTCGATGCCAGCATACGCGTCTGGGAGCTCAACGCGGCCTCCGGCGCCTTCAGCCAGCGCGCGGCGCTGACCGCTGACAGCGGCGGCGGCCACCGCGCGGCGGTGCACGCACTGCTGGTGGCGGGGCAGTTCATGTTCAGCGGGGACCGCGCAGGAGAGGTCAAGGTCTGGAACCTGGGGGACGGGACGTGCTGCCAGACGGTCGAGAGGGCGCACGACGGGCCGATCATGAAGATGCTGGTCTGGGGGGAGGTGAGGGGGCGGCGTGGTCTGGCCGGAGTGGGGGAGGGGTAGAGATGGGAAGGATGGAGCAGGGAGGGGTGGAGATTGGTATAAACGTCCGAGGCCACGCAATCCCGCAAATGCATTGATTTGCAGGCGGGTTCAGCGAGCCATGCAAGTCTGGAACCTTGGATCTTGCATAACATCGGGGCTGTGCCTGCCTGAGTTGCAGGGGCTGATGCGACCGTCCCGCCCCAGCCAGCCACCCACAAGGGGCCCCTAGCCAACCGCCCCCAGCCAAATGACCAAGCCCACCCCTCCCAGTCCATGTGTCATCCTCCACTCACCCGACCTTGCCCCACTCATCCCCCGGCCCCCAACCCCCAGAACTACCTCCTGACAGCCTCCATGGACGGCTCCATCCGCTGCTGGTCCCCGGGCGCCGGCCTGGGCGCGCTCCCGCCGGCGGTCATCAACCCGGAGCCAGAGTTCACATTTGCAGGGCACGAGGAGGAGGGTGCTGGCGGCGGCGGCGGCGGCGGGCGGCCTAACCAGTATGTCCGTGGACGGGTGAGGCATGGGAGGCCATCTGCTGGCAGGCGGGCAAGGGGGGGTGCTCTCGGTAGGCTTCAGCCGTCAGCCGCGTAGATGCTGGCAAGCAGTTTTTGTGCCGCATGCGTCCATGCCCATTCCTCTGACCATGCTCCCAGATGAATTACTCGTGCTCACACCACACCGCTGCATTGGCTTTTGCTTGCGCGCCGCCACCCTCATGCATGCATGCACACGCGAATCCAGGCACCCCTGACAGCCGGCTCGCTCTCCGCCGCTCGAACAACCCAGGACCCGCGGCCCGCGATCCTGTCCATGTGCACCACGCTGGACGCCGCCCAGAGCAGCGTCCTGATGGTGTCTTACGTCAACGACAGGGCGGTGCGGCTGTACGACCTGCCCAGCTTTGACGCACGCGGCTGCCTCCCCAATGTGAGCATAGGGAGGGTTGGGAGGCTCAGAGTTCGCAGTTTCCTTGGACGATGGGAAGGGTGCCGCAGGGAAATCTGGGGATGCATGGGCAAGCAGGGGCCTGGCCTGTTGGTGCGCAGCTGAGAGTAGCGTGCGCGGCGAGCGGTAGTGGCAGCTTGAGGAATCGCCGTGTTGCACCGTGCACTCCAGCCATCCTTTGCTTCTGCCTGGCGACTGGTCCTCAAACGTCCTACGACCCCTCGCTACCTTTTCAGGTGCACGAGTGCCGCGCAATGCTGACCTTGCCAGACGCCAGCACCATGCTGGCCGGGGACAAGAACGGCAGTGTCAAGATCTTCCAGTGGAAGGCCCCACCCATGGCCTCATAAAGGTGCTGTTGACAGCAGCTGCGCATCCATGGCTCCCACTTGATCAGCTTGGGTGCATGATCCACCTGCGTATGCTTCAAAGCTTGATGCGCAGTAGGCGCACGACGTGTTTGTCGAGGTGTTGCTTGTGTGCAGGTGCAATCCTGCACTCGCTGGTTCAACCTGTTTGACATGCTTGGGTAGATGACCAAATAACATGGGTTGCAACTCACCAGCTTTGCTTTCGGACGCAGACGTATGCTGCTTTTTGTTTTCTTCCCATGCTGTTCGTCTTGCTGTTTTTGTCCACATTTGCAGGTCATTGCATTCTTCAACACCTCGCTCTCAATCTGGGCTGCTGACTCACGCTGCATTGGACTGCCAACTCATGCCGCATTGGGCGTGAGCTTTTTGCTGGTCAATCTCACCTGCTGTTACCGGAAGGCTGGCGCGTTGGCAGAACGAGGTTGCTGTTCTGTTGAATGGCCAAGGGTTGCCGAGGGTCCAGGCAGCCATGTTTGTTCAACCTGGACCTAATGACAAATCAGCCAGCAGCCACTTTGCAAGAGCTTTGGGAGCAGACTGCACATACAAACACGCATGTGACAGAGGCCAGCCACACCTCAGCAAACCTCACGAGAGGGCTGGGGCAGGAGGGGCGTGACGTGATACTGCGGATGAAGGGTGAATGAAGGGCCTGCAAACCCAGCGCATAGGGAAGGCGGGCAAATCTACCAGCTGTGGAACACTAGAGAGGGACCAACGGCAGAGCTGCGGGCGATGACGAGGGCATCAGCCCGTGCACCCGTGCCAGAGCTCTGGCATGCGCTAAAATGCTGCATAATTCTCTCATCTCCTCTATGAACGTCATTCAATCAGTCCTCCTGCGGGCTTCGCGATGGGGCAGCCTCATGGCCTGGCAGCGCGACAGCGCACCCCTGCTGCCGGAACATTGCGCCACCCATGGGCAGGCTCAACACGCAACCCTCCCCACCACTCGCAAAAAAAAGTTATGCAGTATGCATTCCTCCGCGTCGAAATGCATGCATCAGACAAGGCAGCTGCCAAAAATGGCGAGGCTGCAAACAAGTTTGCTCCCTGCACACGAGGGATGTGAACATCACACACACTTTTCACTCAACAAACTGTGCCACTCCGGCGCAGGGCTCATCCCGCCCCACGCCAACCAGGGCGTCCTGCCAACCCTTTCAGCTCGTGGCCACAGCCGCACTGCCCTGGCCGCCGCTGCCAGCCAGCTGCGCGGCCGGGCACGCGCGCCGGAGCCGCTCCTCGCTGGCCTCCACATCAAACGCGTCCAGCACGCGCCCCGTCTCGCTCTCCACAAACTCGACCGCCATGCGCTCCGCGCTGTCCACATTGAACCGCGTATAGCCCCACACGCGCTCCGCCGCCGCGATCCACTCCTCCTGGCCGTCCTCCACTGCGGAGAGCTTCCGGCCGGCAGATCCCACCACCACGTGCACGATCCCGTGCGCGCCGCCGCCGCCGTCGGTGCAGCGCTCGTTGTACACAGGGCACGTCCTGAAGTAGCTGTGCACGTGGCCGGCCAGGGTGAGGTCCACCAGGTGCTGGCGCAGCAGGGGCTCCAGGCTGTCGCGGATGTGCTCGCCCACCTGCCTGTTGGACTTGTGGGGGTACACCACTGCGCAGAGGCGGCGAGGGTGTCGTTCAGGGGGGTGCGCTCAGAAAGGGAAAAGAACGAGGATTGGCAGGAACGGCGGCGAAAGAGTGGCCGCGGGGCAGCTGCCATCGTGCGGTGCGCAGCACCAAGAGGCTGGGCGACCAGAAGGGGGGGATGCGCATGCGGCGAGGGGGGGGGGCGTGGGCCTAGGT